GAATTGAAAATTTTTTGTTCGCTTATTTATTTTTTCTCAGATTATATGGAAAATACGTAAGAACCTTTGCTGCATTAAAAACTAGGTTTATCTTTTACAATCTCCGGAATTTTTTAAGAAAAATTTTTTTAATTTTTTAAGTAGTTATTCAAAAACTAATGAAAACCTGTGTTTGTATTCAGCTACAAACAAATATTTTGTAAAAAAAAATACAATGGAGTATGTTAAAGTAAGAGGCAGGAGTAAAAATTAGTTGCTTTACTGATATCGGATTACCGACATGTTGATGGTTTTTGAGAGGCAGTTTGAATGCTATTACATAAAAGCATAAATTAGAGGTAATTCCATTTAGCGCAATTTTTTGTAAACTACAGTAGTTTCTTCTTAAAGGTTAGTATGGAAAGTAGTAATTAAAATGCTTGATAATAATAATTTTAGTTTTTTAAATTACGTTGAAATAGCAGCAATATCCTTTCTTTGACTCTAACTTTAAAATAATTGGTGCTTCTATCTTCTGAATTGAACAAACAGTTTTGAAAGCGAAGCTGCGTACCTCAAAACAACAAGAATATTAGTGACCTGTGAGCATGTCTTGAAATGATAAGATTAGCTGCAGATTTCAGTATTTAAAAATATCATGATTATGAATAATACTATTAGCACTGAAGCGTATACGATTAATAAAATTAGTGAGTGTTGGGAATTCTGATGATAAAACAGATCGTTAACTGAATTTGAAAATTGGTGGAAGTAATTTATAATATTTACACAGACGTTTTTGGTCTCTTATTATTTGTAATACAGGTGTTGCTTGATAAGATAGTCAAAATGACGGTTGTGACTTACTGTGTACTGTATTTTAGGGCCAAGCAAGTGATATTCTTATCAGAGCTGAGGAGATTAGAAGATTAAGAACTAAAATCGAAGAAATTTATGCACATCACACTGGTAAACAAAAGTCTTATTTCTTCTTTTGTTTGTAGTGTGTCGTTTCTCACTGGTTGTTGTATTTTAACACTATGATTTCGTTTAATTTTTAATATGTTTTGATCATTTGTGACTAAAGCATATTAAGAATCAAATAATGGAAATCTTTTAAGTTAGATATCGTGGAATTTTGAATACACGAATGTTAGAGTGGTTTATTTTGTTACAGGACAGGACATCAAGATTATTGAGAAGTCACTAGATAGGGACCGATTTATGGATGCTGAAGAGGCCAAAACATTTGGATTGATTGACAAAATTGAAAGTTCTGTATAATATTTTTGTTTTGATATAACTATCAAATCTTCTATGGCTATGACACCGTAATGGTTGCTTTTGACGGACAGTGTTATTGCTGTTTAGTGTTTTTCATTTTCGAGTAGACTATCGTCGTATTTGTCTGCCATAGGCTGGAAGTATTTTTTTGGCAGGCAGTTGTTCATAAGTACTGAACCAAAAAAGCTAAAGCTACATTATCTGTGTAGCTGAAATCACCTGGGTTTTTTTGAAACTTTTTATGTGTAATTACAATAGGACATATTTTGGAATTTGATAGATAAACGTTTGATAAGTAATCTAAGAAAAGTTATTTTTTTATCATGGTTCTTTCTGCAACTTTCCAAAAAGTAGCCCTTTAACGATAGAGATCTGTCATTTCTTTTAATGTTCCTTCTATAATTATTATTTTTGGGGAATTATAGTAAAGCTGGATGAATTTTTTAGTTGTTTTTTGTAAGGAGTTTGTATGGAATGTATATCAATTTCTATATATTACTGAGTAAATTTGATGGTATTTTTTTTGCTAATGTTGGAGTAAAAGTAGCCGTATTCTAATGATGTTCAATGTATTCGTCATGAAAAGAATTTCTATCAAAACTATGTATTTCGTTTGCTGAACAGAACAGAATAAAAGATTCAATGATTTTACTATTTGCAAAAAAAATTTTGGTCATTTTTGCATCGATTTTTTTTTCACTTTCAATTTTTGGTCAAGATTTTTTTGAAAATTCTTTATGGTCACTGAATTGATTTAAAAATTGAAGATTAATTGGTAATTTGCAGGTTTACATTTAGTACAGTTTATAGTTAATTGTTGAAGAAGAGTAAATATAAGCAGTTAATTTTTTTTTT